TAGTAAGCCACTGTCCCTAGCTTTAGGTCCTCATCCACCCTGCAGGGTTAAAAAACATTTTTTTTCCCCCCCTCACTTTAATTCCAGTGCCAAGGTTCCTCAGTGCAGGATTACTCTTCTCCTCCAGAGACATCACGTTGGTGGGGAAACCTAATGTGCGTCAAGAGCGCACATTAGACCTTGAATCAGTGCTTTCCTATGGGGATTTTCAAGACGCTGGATGTTTTCATGCAAAGCGTTAAACTCAGTGAGAAGTCTGGAAGCTCCTCTAGAGGTCGAATTAACCCTTAGCACCCAATGTTTTCATTTTCAGGTGTAAGGGGACAGCAATATCTCATTGATATTGTGAAGCGCTGCAGAATAAGTTGGACTATATAAGTACCAAAAATAATATTAATTATTATTATTATAAAGTCTGTGATTGGACAAACACAGAAAGTCAGGGAAGAAGAAGAGGGATTGCAAAGGCTGTACATAAGAGAACTGCCGTTAAAAATAGCTGTTTTAGGTATACCCTAAATGAAAAAAAAAACGTGATAATTTGTCCAGTGCAGTGTCCCATTACCCTTTAGTAACCAGACCGTTTTTCAATTTTCTTACTGTTAAGAACCAGGACTGTCTTTACATTTCTGTGGTGTTTGTGTTTAGCTGTTATTTTCCTCTTACTCATTACTGTACCCACACATATTATATACCGTTCTTTTTCGACATTAAATGGTCTTTCTAAAGATACCCTTATTTTCATCATATCATATAATTTACTATAAAAAAAATATAAAATATGATGAAAAATGTTTTAAAAACACACTTTTTTTAACTTGGACCCCCAAAATCTGTTACGCATCTACAACCGCCAAAAAACACTCATGCTAAATAGTTTCTAAATTTTGTCCTGAGTTTAGAAATACCCAATGTTAACATGTTCTTAGCTTTTGTTGGAAAGGTATAGAGCTATAAGTACAAGTAGGACATTGATGGCTCAAAATATATATATTAAATGTATCAATAGTGACATTTTAACACTGTTATCTGTCATAAATCTCTGGATCACACATGTAAATACAACCCAGGGTATTCAATATGGAGTACGTCCAGTCTTTTTTAGTAGCCACTTAGTCACAAACACTTTCCAAAGTTAGCATTTATATTTGTTTGTTTTAAAAATGCAAAAAACAATTATGAACACTAACTTTGGCCAGTGTTTGTGACTAAGTGGCTACTAAAAAAGGCTGAACATACCCCATTTGCAATACCTTGGGTTGTCTTCTTTTGCAAATGGTATGCCATCATGGGGGTAATTCTCATTCCTGGGCTACCATACGCTCTCAAAAGCAACATAACCAATCTGGCAAATTTCAATACGAAAAAAACTAAAAATCAAGCCTTATATTTGACCCTGTAACTTTCAAAAACACTATAAAACCTCTACATGTGGGGTACTGTTATAATCAGGAGACTTCGTTGAACACAAATATTAGTGTTCCAGATCAGTAAAACGTATCACAACAATGATATCATCAGTAAAAGTGCCGTTTGTGTGTGCAAAAAACATCACTTTCATTGACAATATAATCTCTGTGATATGTTTTACTGTTTTGAAACACTAATATTTGTATTAAGCAAAGTCTACCGAGTAAAACTACCCCCCATGTACAGGTTTTAGGGTGTCTTGGAAAGTTACAGGGTTAAATATAGTGCTAGCAAATTAAATTCTCTGGACTTTTGGCCTGGGTTGTCAGGCATATAGATATAATATATGTATATATATATATATATATATATATATATCTCAAATCTATATTTCTGTTTTAATTTATTCACTTATTTTTTTTTAAAGTTTTTTTAACTTTTTTCACAAGCAAGGGGACTGCCTGTCAGTTCAGGCAAATGCCTGGACGCCTATTGCGGCCATGTGACTGCTCTTTCAGAGCGATCACATGGCCTGCGGTGGCCTAATTTGCATAGGGGGGCTGTCTGGGCTGTCAGATAGTCCCCCCAGACGGAGAAGAAGACCAATCGCCAGCGGGGGAACGGCAGCGATCGGGTAACTAATTAAGATTACCTCGGATGTACTGGGTACGTCAGAGGTCCTGGGGGGTTGGAGATAAGTTATATTATTTAAATGTTATTAATTTTACTGAGTGCCTCAACCCCTCGAGGCACTCAGCACACAGGCAGAGTATCGGAAGCCTGCTGGCATGATGGCTTCCGATGCTCTGCCTCACTGCCGGGCGCCACGTGGAGCAACCCGGAAATGATCGCTCCGGGGGAGCAATCACCCGGTGGCCCGGAAGTCAGGGGGGGCATTACATGATGCCTTGACATCAAGGCATCGCTGCAATACCCTTAGACCAGGTCTGACAGTAAGTGCTCTTTGCTCTCAGTAAACACTTCCTGCCAGACCGTGCATTCTACTCGGCCACACTACATGAAGACAAGGCAGGAGGGGAGCACTGTGCTGTGCGCTCTCTCCTGAAGTTATGCAAGCCCACAAGGTCGACAGGGCTCACTGGAGTGACCGTGGTAGTTACGCCACTGCATTCACACTAGTTTGAGATGGCTCTCTAGGTTATCCCACCCTGGACCTGAATTCATACCTACCAGTGACATTCAGTCATATTGTAATATCCTGACATTGCATTCCAAGAATAGAATGTCCAAGGATCCAGAAACATACAGAGCATTAAAGCTATACAGTATTACAATATTAAGTACTCTATAGCCTAGTAAAGCCATATGGATATATAATATTAAATAATCCAATATCATTAACGTTTCACTACATATAATCACAAACATACAGTACCCAATAACATAATCCCTAAAGAAAAAAAACTATTGAGAAATCTATTGGTATATTAATTAATATTATTAATGATGCTGCTTGTAATAAAACAGGTTAACAACACCCATTAAAATAATGAGTTCTATATATAACATAATTAAAAAGGAAACAGCTACTTTTCGTGTAAATTTAAGAAATAAAATGTGTGAAAAAAACAAGTTTAAACTCTGGAATAAAAAAATAATAAAAACGTGGTTCCACTGGGGCTCGAACCCAGGACCTTCTGCGTGTAAAGCAGACGTGATAACCGCTACACTATGGAACCCGCTGGTGACGAGAGCGGCTCCTTCGCTATCTGTGCTTCAAACTGCTTGACTGTCAGTTCTCTATATGGCACTGCACTCGTGCGCGTGGGGGATTTTCACGGAGGCTAACGCACCTGGCTCGCGCCCTTTCCCGCCTTAGGCGCCTCACCCGTCAGGCTGTCAGCGCAGACACATAGCACACCATACAGCCACTGACAGCGTGCACCCCGGGAAAGCTCCGCCCCCTGCATTATATCGGCCAATCAGCTACTCCTCTCGTTACCGGGTGTTAACCCTATACTGTCCATGACGGTTTATATAGCGCGCGCCGTGTGCCCTTCCTTCATAATGCAGAATGACAGTTGTATCGTGATAGTTACCTAGGGTGTGTGGGAAGGGGAAAAAACACAAAAATACCACAAATACAGTGCAAATTCACTGTCTGAGTGCCTGGGGTTAATAAATAAGTTAAATAGTTTATAGGTATCTTTTTTTTTGGTTTTGTTTTTTTTAACAATTAGAGCAAGAATGTGGTGTCTACATGAGGCACTAATTATTAACCTTTTGTGTGCCACAGACAAGGCACCTTTTAACATTAATAAATTAATAAATCAGTAGTTATTAAAAAAAAGTTATTTCCCTGATTATGATTGTTATTATATTTATATATAGTGCCCACATGTTCTGCAGCATTGTGACTGCAAGTAATTAGACGAGAGTTGTAGAAAGAGCTTACAATCTATAATATATAATGTCACTGATCACAATCAGGAATGACATCATACTTCTATTTAAAGCAGCACTGTCACCGACTTGGGTCCTTGCCAACGACCCCCTACACCAGGGGTTCCCAACCCATTCCTCAAATACCCCCTACCAGTCCAGGATTTAGGGATTACCCTGTTGTGTCTAAAGTGTTTTTTTTTATTTTTTTTTCATTTTCTAAAAAAACACAACCTTAAATATAACTGGGTAATCCCTTAATGCTGGACTGTTAGGGGGTACTTGAGGACTGGGTTGGGAACCACTGCCCTACGCTGAAGGTGAGCTTTAGCTGAACCTGTCCCTCGCGGACCCGCCTACTTGATCCGACGGGTCCTCTGCAGAGCCGATGTCACTGCTGTACTCTCGCGCATGCTCGGGAGGACAGCATTGAGGTCTATGGAGGATCCCACTGGATCCTCTATGGACACAGCCAATTCCCTGCAACCGTCACTGGTGATGGTTGTCGGGATGGACACTTAGACTCTAGAAGAAAGTTAGGAGGAGGAGAAACACAGAGAAAAAGTAGTCCCTACTTTGTCTCAACATATCTCTTATTTGGGTTGGAATTTCACTGAAATTTCAATCAAGAGGCAGTGCAGCTTTAAACATTCCTAAATTGTAAACTCATTTGAGCAGGACATTCTTCGCTTCTTGTATCTGTCAACATTATTTTAGTATGCCAAAACTTATCCCATACGTAAGCCAACGATGATGCACCTTAAATTAGAGACGCTTATAAACTATGGCATTGGATTTTGCTCCTGGCTCATGATGTTTTCATACACACCTTTATTAAAATAAACCAGGTTCTAATCTATACTCTGAATTAATTTTTTTACAAACGGTGTAAAAAAATTTAGCAATATTTATTTCATATTTAAGTCCTAAATTATTGCTTTTCTAGTATGTGACAAAATGGCATACCAGTGAGAGCTACTCTGCCAATAAGGCTGCTAGGCATTTCTTATGATAATCCTATTATCACGTTATTCCCTAATTCTCCTTTTCTTTATGTAAATGTCATTCAAGGAGAGCTGTTTCTGTAGAAGGACAATCTTTGTGAGACACACACTATAAATCAATGTGACCAGTTAGATATTTTACATTCCACAGAGTCTTTCCAGGAGCAAAGTTCTGCTTTGCCACCTAAAGGCAAAACCTGAATCCTTACACACTTTGCACATTGTACCTAGGCATCTTATATTTCATTTCTCTGAACGTGTTAGGCACTGGCAGTGTTATTTTTAGGAGCTCTTCTATTGCTGTAACTCTGTGGTGCCTGAGAAGTGAAATACATTACAAAAGGCATACGTGTTGGAAGAAGAACACTATTTTGGGCCTCTATCTCACACTCTCAGATAGGTTGTCTAATGTCCTTATTTTGGGAGCACCAGAGACAAGTACCCAGAAATCACAAGACCTCATCATGAACTGGCACCAAGCTAACACAAACATTTCTGCCCATGTGAAAGTTCTAAGCGTGCCCCCAAACTACCTCACCCTATTGGAGGGCATGCACGCCATTGACATGTCCCCTCTATGGCCTTGCCCCTTCACTCCCAATATTTAACTCCCAATGTTTAGAGGTACCCAAAAGGCAACAATCTCAATATACCTATGGAAATAAAAAAATTACATTATCAATACATTCAGTACCATGGACTAAATTCAATATACATTCCCTATATTGATATATAACTAATAGACTTTAACACCTTCCTATGAAATTAATTTGTTTAGTTTACACAACTGATTTTGTATGCCACAAATAATAAATCACAACATAATAAATCAAATAAAAAGAACATGACAAAATATTTACTTGAAGCAAATTTGCCATTGACTAATTCCTTATACGTGGGTCTGGTGTAAGAAACTGGTATCGCGGGTTTATTTCTTGACATTCCAGCCATGTGAACCGTCATAACGTGATGACTTTCCTGGTATGTCATTTAATCCCTTAACGACCAAACGTTTGGAATAAAAGGGAATCATGACATGTCACGTGTCCTTAAGGGGTTAATGGCCAACACCTTCTATGTGGGACTGGCCCTCTTAGTGATTCAAATCTCTCAGTCTGTCTTCCCTGCTCTGATCTGTGTTATTTTCAGAATGTGTGATGTGTTTTATTGTAACAGTGAAACGTTTCATATTCCCCACCCTTCAAATTATAGGAAATGTTTTTAGAAAACAGTTTGTGTAACACGACATCTTTGGCTTCGACCTCCCCTCATTGTACATATGGGTCCCACGGACCTCCCGGCCCATGCCACCGCCCCTACCCCCGACATTAGCTAATTCTATCAGCACCTGGGATAAGCTTACCCAAAAATTCCCTATCATCAACAACCCATCACCACTGACACCCATACTGCGCAATAAAGCATTTAGCCCAGGAATGAACCCAAAGGATTTCGCTCACTACGAACACAACGACCTTTATAGAATATGCCACTTCTTTGAGGGAGGAAAACTAATGCAATACAAAGACCTTCCCCAACAACACTCACCATACAACACACATGACTTTTTCAGATACATACAACTAAAGAGCTTTTTGGAACTCCTTGAAAATAGGATAGCAGCCACCAACAGATGCACAACATTTGAACGAGCATGCATACATAACCCAGCCCGCAAGGGCCAGATCACTGATAACTATAGCATGCTCATCTCTACTCATGCCCCAGGAGCGATGGCATATGTGGCGGCTTGGGAGAGGGATCTGGGGCCACCGGGAGACCCGAATGACTGGCAGGACATATGGGAGGCCACAGCATCTATCTCTATATGTGTCAACCACAAAGAGCAGGCCTATAAAACTCTACTACGATGGTATCTAACCCCCGCAAGACTATACCAAATGGGTAGGACCGACTCGGACCTCTGCTGGATGCGGTGTGGGCAAAGGGGAACATACATACACCAATGGTGGCAATGCCCAAAACTAGCACAGCTTTGGGCGGAGGTGGCCTGCCTGGTCTCCAGCTTACTCCACGCAGATATACCCTTAGACCCTTGGATCTGGCTCCTATCCAAACCCTGGGAACCTTTAACCAGAGCCCAAAACAAATTAGCAAACAGAATAGCTCTGGCTACAAGGAGGGTGATAGCAGAACTCTGGGGTTCCCCGGAGGTCCCCACTTTAGCCACAATCATCCGCAAAACCAGGGAAGCCATTGAAATGGACAGAATCTCAGCCCTAGTCCATGAAACGTCAGGCCACTTTCACAAAATTTGGGACCCGTGGCTGAGCGAGCCGGCGCTGAATCCGTCGAACCTGGCTACGCCGCAGGCCCAATAAATGGCCAACAGAGGCATAACGGGGAGGGGAGCTCAGAGGGTGAAACCCAAACGCATGACAAATAGGGGAGAACCCATAGGAGACCATAAACGCAACTCAGGGGGGCCAATCCACAACAGACTCCAGCAGTCTCCCAAAACCATAGCACAGAAACACTAAAACTTCCCGCGAGCATAACACCCAACCACTGAGACCAAAGGTTGACTATGTTTATACTTGATTGTGTATTTTTGTATTTTTGTATGTTTTTAACCACTGTGCGATCTATCAACACCCAACTAATGCAACAGCAAAGCTGGAAACTAGCTAGACAACTTGTCTACTCACATAACAATGTCAAACATGTTATATCATAAGACAAATGTATACACCATGGTTGCAAAATGCTTCTGAAAAGGTGAAAATAAATAAATAAAGAATGTTAAAAAAAAAGAAAACAGTTTGTGTAAAAAAAAAACAATGGCCTTCCGTAGGACTTCACGTTACATAAATCTACTGCAATAAACCTGTTATTGCATTTATTTATTTTTAAGCGTTTAAAGGGACACTATAAGCATCCACGCCACTTCACCTCACTGAAGTTGTCTGGGTGCAGTGTCTCTGTCTGCCTTTAGAGAAACTGCAATGTTTACATAGCAGTACTAAGACTGCCTCTAGTGGCTGTCTATCAGACATTCACATTAGCATTAGGAATACATCTCTGAGGAGCATTGGAGTGGAACATCACAGAGGTAGCCATACCTCCTCCATGACGTTGTGGGAGGAGAGGTAAGCAGCTAGAAAAATGGAACTTTATTTTATTGATTTTATTTTTAAGCTTTATTTTATTATTTTTAAGGCACACAGGGAGGGGTGTGCCTATATAACAAGAGAGACTAAAGGTTTGTGTTCCTAATGCTCTGGTGTTCCTTTAAGGGTCCTCCTAGGTAATTTACATGTATACATGTAAGGATTGTCATAGTGATCATGTGTTCTCGGACACAAAGTGTAACATCCTACACAAAGCATATTTCCAGGCTGTGAGCTCAGCCTTGTAGTATAGACAAGGATCAAAATTCGATAAAACAGTAAAGATTCACCATCTGCCCTGTCTCAGAGCTTACTTCATCCCAAATCCCTGCGAGCTCATTCACTGTGAAATAACTTATACATGGATGGATAATGAGTTTATATTACTGTATTTGCAAATAGAGGTGACTGTCCCATTTGTTCAATGTGATTGCGTCATGATGGAAGTGTGAACATAGACCTGCGAATTGTAGCACGTTTGTAATATAGAGAGAGAGGGGGATGGGTGGGTTCAGTGGGCATGTGCTCACATAATGCAATTAGCATAATTGGCATCATCCCTGGCAGTAAAGTCACCCAAGTGCTCCTTTTGAAATGCACTGTAAATCATCCCAAGTACAGAGTGACCATGTTTGAACATGCGCATATGCTGCACTTGAGCTGGCCACAATTCTCTTGACGCCATGTAATAAAAACGAACTGTCTGCATCGGGACAAAGGTTTTGATGTTGTGCGTCACTCTATAAAATCAATGGCAGGAGGGGTGTTTAATGTATAAAATGATTCCGATGATTTGAACCTGCTAAGTTCTTGTGACGTTGCACTTCAGTGGATCTAGCCTGCTGTGGTCAATGCTGAAATGTACTTATTTTTTTTTTTTTAAGTCTTTCCCTTTGAAAATAAATTTCATTACTACGTAGTAAAAAGAGAGCGCGGAAACTTAGTTAGTAGTAATTTGTCATCCTACGATTGAATTTTTTTAGATTCCCATGTCCTAGTTCTATAAAGAAACACTCAATTTAAAACATTGGCTATAATAACACCTGAGACAAGACCAATTCATTGTGTTGTCGAGAAACCTCAAAACTGGGGAAAAGAGAGCATGGACTTCCTATTCTCTAGCGGAGCCTGTCTAGCTGGATTGACAAGCAGAATGCTGTAAATAATTTTTTTTAGACATCACGCTACCAGAGTCTTACTCACTCTCATGAAATGATGGCTAACATTTTGCACTGCAACTGCACTCCATATTTAATAAAGCTTTAGCAGATTTTTGACTGCCTAAGCAAGTGGGCATCATGGGCTTCTCCCTCTAGCATGTAAGCTCATCGAGCAGGGCCCTCAACCCCCTCTGTTCCTGTACGTCAGTGGTCTGATCTCAATTATGTGTCTGTTAGTCCACCCATTGTAGAGCGCTACGGAATTTGTTGGCGCTATATAAATAATAAAATAATAATAATAATAATGTGGTCGGTCCATTATTGGAGAGCTATGTCTGTATTGAAAAAGCATTGTACACAATGCTGAAGAAAGAGAATGTTTTTAACATATGCATTCTGTGTTCTTTCTTGATATTTGTAAATCCACATGTTGATGCTCCCATTATGAAATCAATTAACTATTTGTGTGTGGTATTCCAAATAAACACTGTGGTTACTTAATAAATACCAGGAACACATTTACTGCTCAACAGTTTTTAATAGAGAAAGAGTGACACTTTAATTTTAAAAAGGCAAGCGTCAGTGCGGGTGTGGACAGGGGCGAAGCTGTTCAGAGAAATTTTAGGTGACTTAGTAAAAAATTATGCAACAAAAGAGCAATGTATCTTATTTACACAGACTGATTTCTAAACATATTTATTGAAGTTTAAAGACACATTACTGTGAGCATCGTTGCTGTGGTGCTCGGGTATACAATCAGGCACAGCAGCAATCCTAGAAAAAAAGAGACATTAGGGTAGGAAGGGGGGCAGTGGGTAATGGGACCAAAATAGGGACTGTCCCTCCTAAATAGGGACACTTGGGATGTATGAACACATGCATTCCAAACATTGCCAGATGTTAATTTCAAACCAGAGAAGACTTCATTAGTGTCACATAATATATGAACAAGTAGAAACTTTACTCTCAATCCATACTTATAAACTCACTTGATTTACACTGATCAGCCACAGAATTAAAACCCACTGCCTTATATTGTGTAGATCTGTTCGTGGTGCCAAAACAGCTCTGATGAGTAGAGGCATGGACTCCACAAGACCTCTGTACATGTCCCGTGGTTCATGGCACCATAGGCTTTGCTACAGGGGGGCAATTGCCAGCCTCTAGATTATGCCTTACCCCCCTTTGTACACCCACACCAAAATTTCTCTAATGTTAAGCTAACTGGCTTTTCCTCATTTAGATCGAGACCTGGCACCTTCTGTTCTACCTCTAGGTCTCTTTTTCAGTCTCCTAAAAGGGGGCTGTGTGTGGAATGAGAGAGAGGGGAGTGACATCGGATCCCTTCCTCTCTATACACACCAGAAGGCTCACACTGCATTTGTGAGATGTGGCTAAGTGCAGGGCTGCCGGAAGAGAAAACAGTTCTGTGATGGCATGTTGATGGGAGGATGAACAGGGAACAGACACAAGGGGGAGGTAAGATCTCCACCCACTATAGCACCTATATAACCCTACCTTGCATCCACTACAGCCCCTATCTCCCCTTCCCAAACTAAAGACCATACCCCTGAACAGCCGTTTGAAGGAATTTGGGGGCACCAAGCAAAATGGACATGGAGGCCCCCCAACCCCCGCACGCACGCAAAGCCTATAGCCATACAGTTTAAGTTCACCCACACTTATATAAATAAAAAAGGTTTACAGTGCAAATACTGCTGTTGCATATACTGTGCATAAATAAAAACTTTTACAGTGCAAATACTGCTGTTGCATATAATGTGCATAAAATTTGAACATTTTCAACAATTGAACATTTGCAAAAAACACCACTGTACTATAAAATCAAATATACATTAAAAAAGTGCACAATAACTAAATCCAACATACTTAAAACACACACACACTCGCTAACACACACACACACTAACAGACAAACACACTCACACTAACAGACACACTCACTCACTAACAGACACACACTCATTCACTCACTCACTCACTAACAGACACACACAATAACAGACACACATTAACAGACACACACACTCACTAACAGACACACACTCACTCACTAACAGACACACACACACTAACAGTCAAACACACACTCACTAACAGACAGACACACACTAACAGACACACACTCATTCACTCACTAACAGACACACACACTAACAGACACACACTAACAGACACACACTCACTAATATTAACACACTCCCCCCAGCATTACCTTTGGGAATGCTGGGGGGGGGGATTCTCCCTCTCCCTGGGGTCTAGGGGCTGCTGGGTGGTCGGTCGGGCGGCGGTGGCGAGGGTGCACTTTCCCCTGAGCGCTCTGCTTGGTTTGCTTGCCTTGTCGCGACGGGCCTGCCCCTGAACCAACCACAGCCCCTATCTCCCCTTCCCAAACTACAGACCCTACCCCTGAACCAACCACAGCCCCTATCACCCCTTGCACCTATTACAGCCTATATTACCCCCTTTATCTCTTATCTCCCCTGCACGCATAACCGTGTGACTAGCAGGCGAGGAAGTGCTCCCATCCCATCGGTCACTGCATGTAGCATGGCCAAGCCGCAGTCTGCAGGTAGAGGAGCTTCTGTTCCCCTACCCAGCCTGACAGGAAGTGCTCTCATTGAGCACCGAACTGCTTCCTGTTTCTGGCTCACGGTCATTAGCCTCCCTCTCCCCCCTTTCCTGGTGGTCTCTCCTCTTCATCCCCCCCTTCCCTGGTGGTCTCTCCTCCCTCTTCCCTTCCCTGGTGGTCTCTTTTCTCCTTCCCTCGTGGTCAGTCCTCTCCCACCTCTTCCCTGGTGGTCTCTCCTCTCCCACCCACCTCCCCTTCCCTGGTGGTCTCTCCTCTCCTCTCCCACCCCACCCTCCTCCCTGGTGGTCTCTCATCTCCTACCCCCCCCTAGTGGTCTCTCCTCTCCCACCCCTCCCCCCCTTCCCTGGTGGTCTCTCCTCTCACCTTGTCCTTCTACCTCCCTGTGTAGCGTGGCCAGGCCGCGCGGACTGCAAGAC